GGGATTGGCCTAGGGGGGGATTTTATAGGGATTTTAAAGGGATTTTATAATTTTTCTAATACAGGTTAATTAATATATATTTTAATTTGGCTTTTAAATATTTATTGTATAGCTCTGTTTTTATTTACCTGTAAGCCGCCCTGAGTCCCTCGGGAGAAGGGCGGGGTATAAATTAAAGTAATAAATAAATAAATAAATTTCTACCTGGTTATATATCATAGAGATGTGATGATTAGAAGATTCCCCTTTACCTCAATCGATCTCACAGGAAACGAAGAAAATCAAGCTCTTATAAAGTAAAATGAAAAATTGGGGTTTTTTTCTTGCAAGTATTAAAATGGTAACATTCAGTATGGGAGGAAAATAGATTCAGAAAACCCCAGTTTATGGTAATGCAGCGCCTTACAAATTCATTAAGAAATAATATTCCAGAAGATAATGCAGTATTCTGGACAGACCAGCAGGTGGTGGTGGTGTCTGTCACAAATATTGTTCAGTGTTTCTCAACCTGGGCAACTTTAAGATGGATGGACTTCAACTCCCAGAATTCCCCAGCCAGCAAAGCTGGCTGGGGAATTCTGGGAGTTGAAGTCCATCCATCTTAAAGTTGCCCAGGTTGAGAAACACTGTAATGTAGATCATAAATTTCTTTTTGAAAAAAGTTATATCTTCATCAACATAACCTGGAGCATAAATGAGAGTTGAAATTAAACACCCATGTCCAGGATTTTTACAGAGACAAAGAAAATGAGGATTAGAACAGCACAGAAAACAGAAGTCAAAAACCTAGCAGAAATTCTATGTTTTACCTGTTTACCAGAACTAACAGGTTTCCTGACGGTTCTTGGCTTCAATTTCTTGGACTTCTTGGAGATCCCAAGTGTTCATCAAAATCTGCTCTGAACAATAGTAATTAGTATTCAAACCTTTCTATAGCCAGCATTTGGAAGTTCTGGGTACTCTGACTCCATATTAGTCCATGTATGTGTCAAAGAGCCATCCCTCACTTTTAGGGATGTGGATTCTGGGGTGTGTACTTTCACATGCAGATTACATACACCACAAACTCTGGTTAATAACACATCCAGTGTGATGCTTTTAGACTGAAATGTAGCTGTCATCTGTATATGATAAAAGTTAATAAAATTTAATCAACTCTCCATGGAATAATCTCTTATTTTGGGAGCTGTTACTACCTGAAAGAGAAGCCTAAAGGTGCCATAGGCAGCTTAGTTGTTCCAAGAAGGAAATCCACACAATAATTTTCTCCTGACCATCATGATTAAATGGGGCAGAACTTGGAATAGTTTTGTTTTGTCTGATTTATGGCCAGTTGCATTTGGAACTTACTTTGGAAAGTTCTTCTGTAGACAGCATTTTCAGGTGCTTTTAATCATATTGTTGCCTAGATTACATTTTAAGTGACAAATTCTCCAACGGATCTTTCAGATGTTGGAGTGTTGCATAAATTGTGAAGAATGTCTCGTCTTTATTATTTACGCTTCTGTTTCTCAGGTATTCGTCAGCTTCAGCTGATACTCTTGAAGGTCTCCTTAATCCTCGGTGTTGAGATCCACGTCAATGTAGAATTTCAAGGTCTTTTCTGTCCTCCAGAGGACCAGGAGAATGAGAGTAAGTAGGGTTGGCATTGATAGCAGACTCTGGGTGAAAGTCTTGCTCTTTATACAATATCTAAGGAATTACTCTTATATAATGCAGTGTGATGGCTCAGCGGTTCAGACACTGGGTTTGTCAGCTGGAAAGCAGACAGCCCAGGTTTGAGACTGGAGCGTCGCACAACGGGGTGAGCTCCCTTCCTCACCCTAGCTCCTGCCAATCTAGCAGTTTGAAAGCATGCAAATGCAAGTAAATAGATACCCCTTCAGTGGGAAGGAAACAGTGCTCCATAACATCCTGCTGGCCACATGGTCGCAGAAATGTCTTTAGACGGTGCTGGCTCAAAGGCCCTTGAAGCAGAGATGAGCGCTGCCCCCTATAGTCAGCAGAGTAAGATTCATGGAGACTTCTTTACCTCTACTCTTGTATAATCAGACCATCATGAGTAGTGGCTGTATGTGACTATTCCACTTTACAAATACTGAAAGGCCCAGTTAAATATTGCTTGAGTGTTTAAGCCATTTACATGTCTATATCCATTTTTGTACATGCTTTGTTAATATATAATTTATCCACAGGGATAGGTTGGCGTGCACAAGTCTATCCAAAAACACATCCTGTATCAGAATATGAGTTTGATGTGATAATTGGAGGGGATGGAAGGAGAAATACTTTGGAAGGTAACTGTGGCTGATGTTTATGCTGATGTGTAGGGCATGCCTGCAACCCAACTATTGCCAGGTTAGCAATGCTGGCTGAGGATGATAGGAAAAGAAGTCTACCACAGAGGCAAGACTCCTGTAGCCTCTACTTATTATTGCATTATGTTGTTTTTCTTGTGGCCCTTTATCCAAGGAGACATTTCAATGAGAATAGATTGTATTAGATACATAGACTGTATGTTCAAGCATGTTATTTGCATACAAGAGATTCCTTATTAAGTTCTTTTCCAGTTTTATGTCCTAGATAATGGAACTGGGAAAAGAATTTTCAGCTAAGGTCTTCCAGAATTATTATAAGGCAGAGTTGAGAAAGGCCAGACAAAGTGATGATTTAACTAAGTGTGGAATTGTTTGGATTGTATTTTTTTCTGTAATGTTTCATTTGTTTATCGTGTTTCCCAAAAAATAATATTAATTCCATAGCTTTTTACACATTACTTAGTGTATGGACATGATAGTGTAGTTTCATTTGGAGGGGAGAAAATTAAATCCATGGTAGATTACTATAGATGTACAACTAGAGTCATTTTTTTCCTCAGGCAGTTGATTTGAAATTTGAGGCCTGTTTTGTCGTGGTGTATTTGTTCTGTAGGGTTTCGGCGAAAAGAATTCCGTGGGAAGCTGGCAATTGCTATCACGGCAAACTTTATCAACCGGAATACCACAGCTGAAGCCAAGGTTGAAGAGATCAGCGGTGTGGCTTTCATTTTCAACCAGAAGTTTTTCCAGGATCTTCGAGAAGCAACTGGTTTGTAGAAATGATTGATAGCTGAAAATAAGCAATGTTATCTCATTGTGTCTTTGTTCCGGAGATGCTCCTAGCCTATGAACGCTGTGAGTTTTACAGTTTGCATGTAACTAATGAACTAAAAGAAGGGGCTTGTTTTGCAGCTTCTACAGAATGTTTTCTTTGTGTATTCATGGCAACCAGATCTTTGGCAACTAGAACAGATAGTCTTCATTTAATAACCACAATCGAACCTGGAATTTCGGTTGTATGTCATTGCAGTCATTAAATGGGTTATGTGATCTGATTTAATTTTATGACCATTTTTACTATGGTCAGAGAGTGAGACCCTGCAGTTGTTTCTTGAACAGGCATTATTTTGCCAGAAACAAGCATCAAATGTCACAAATTATGGTTGTGTTATGCAAGGCACTACAATTGGTCATAAATGCAAGCCCGAAATGTAACTTCGAATGTATGTTAAGAACTACCTGTATGTGGTTTCTTAAAGCTTCTGAAATCATTAGAACTTTGCCAGTGCTGTGATAGACCTTATTTGGAATACACAGGAAACATCTTTTTTTAAAACCATTAAAGGAACCAGATTTTTCCCCTGGCTCATGCAGTTGCTTTGGGAGCTGTTGTCATTTGTCTCTGTACACAAAGTCATTTTCCCAGCAAGCAAAACAGTTTACTGGGCTCAACTTCCAAAGCAATTGGACATGCCCGGAAGAAGATGATTCTGCTTTGACCATTTAAAAGAAGGTGCTTCCTAATTTGTGCTTTCAGAAGCCGTTCTTTTGAAAGACAGCCAAGAATCAGTATTAAATGAATCATCCAATATTGGAGTGGAAGGAATTTTATAGAGAACCTGACCTTGTGAGTTATGTTCTAAGTGATCTTTTGAAGCTGAGTGGACAAACATGCTAAATTGATATGCATAACTACTATTGGTGGCAGTGTTAGCTCATTTTGTTGATTTGGGCTCAAGCATTTATGGTCCTGTTCTTTGACCCTTGATCTTTCTCGATTCCATTTTAGGCATTGATCTAGAGAACATTGTCTACTACAAAGATGATACACACTATTTTGTCATGACTGCCAAAAAACAGAGCTTGCTGGACAAAGGGGTCATATTACATGTAAGTGTGCTCATTGCAACCTCAGTTATATGTCGATGAGGCCATTGACCTGCTTTAAAAGGTTAGGGGATCATAATATTAGTTTTCATTGCCCTATAATCCTTCAGAACAGATTGTAATGGACAATTACAGATTGTAATGGACAATTATTCATCTTTCTGTTTTGCAGCAACCACTGTGGACAGCCCAATGTCGTAGGAAGGGTTATTTGGACAATATCTTTTTGTTTTAAGACAGCCGATGTGAAATCAATTGTCCCTAGTAATTATTTCCTTCTAATTTATTCAAAATAATAGAATTTTAATATTATTGTATTAAATGTCGGTTGCTTGTTCAAAGTAAGGAGGGCTTTCTCCTGCATAAGCTTCAAACAATGAATTGCATCCATTTTTCTTTCTCTGGAGAGACATACAGATTTGTGGTGTGTCACAAAAAGATCACAATAGGGAACGATTGAAAAGCAGATAAAGGCTACTTCCATTCATGTTCCCCAGCAATTGATGCATTTCATATTTTTGTATGAATATGAACTGCTGTGTAAGTCAAAGTTACTGTTCTGGCCCATAATGAAAAATATGAATGCTGAAGGCAGTCCATTGCAGAGAAACACCAGATCCACCTCAAATGTCAGTATATTGTACTAAAAATAATCGATCTATCCAGTCAGATTTTACATGATCTCCTTTGTACTTTCTGTTCCTCTAAGGAACATTGGGCAGACTTGGCAATAGTACAGGTAGCCCTCGACTTACGACCACAATTGAGCCCAAAATTTCCATTGCTAAGCAACGGTTGTTAAGTGAGTAGTATCCCATTTTACAACCTTTTTTGGCCACAGTTGTTAAGCGAATCACTGCCATTGTTAAGAGAATCTGGCTTCTTGGAAGCCAGCTGGGAAGGTTACAAATAGTGATCACATGACTCCAGGACAGTGCAAC